ATTCTCAAGCATATTTTCTTCATTCTGCAACACGTTCCAACCCTTGTTGTTTTGTTTGTGTCTATCCAGCTTATATAAATGGCAAAAAGAAAACTCGAGCACAAGGTCGACGTGTATGAAAAAACAAAAGCAATTGACAATCCAACAGTCAATGAAATATAAAAATATATTAGGAAATGTTGGTTTAAAAATAATTGTAGAAACGAATTGTTTATATTATCGAGAAGAGTCTCGTAAGCCGTAACATCATGGTCATGCACAATTAAAAAATACGAATGGATCATTAACAAAACGTGATACCAAAATTGAAAACACATAGTGAAATTCAACAACAACAGCAAGACAAGAGGAAGAAATGATAACTATTAGAGAATTACATAAATGTTTTTTTTTTGTTATTTTATTATTTAAAAAGAATAATAAATCTATCCATTTACTTTTATCTTTTGAATTAAATGAGAAAAATAAAAAGGCTAACATTTAAATTCTAGATCTGTGATATTTTTTCTATTCCATTTGTTTTTCCGCGCTTATTGCGCATTGGAAAAATTCGAACAACGATGTTAATCGACGAAAAAAATATTGATGAAATAATAAATACAATACGAAAACTTCACCAAACGACAATTGATCATAGACTAGTGGATTTAACTGAATATTTAACTGAATTTTTTCAATCTATTCAACCACAACAATCAAATTTATTTCGTATGTTAACATGTCTTGTACATGATTATCAAGATTGTGCAGCATTGAAAATTGAATTTCTTCAAGCACAATGTTTCGAAACACTTTGTAAAATATTAAATACTGATGAAGATAATATTATATCAATTTTAGAATTTATTATTGAACTTTTAAATAATTCTGAAAGTGTTCAAGAAAAATTTCTTCATTTTAATGGTTATCAAAAATTTTTTAATTCACTTCGTTATATACATTCACCAACAATGAATTTTATTAATCAATTAATTATTCTTATGATTAAAAAATCAACACTACATAATGAAGAATTACTAACACAGACAATTGATTCATTTGTTATTTTTATTAATCCACATATTGCTATATCACTTATACATTGGATACCATATTTAACAAATGTATCATATCAACAGCATATTATATCTTCAATAGATAAAATTGTATTACGTTCATTACAAAATAAAATGATGGCTTGTTCAAATGGAATTATTCTTGCTTTACTTGAGATATTAAATAATGATGATACGAATTCAAATAAATTAGAAGAAAAAATTTTAATTGATATTTTTTCTTTATTAGAAAATTTATCACAATTTTCAATAAATCCACAAGAAATTCGATATATATGTCAATTATTTTATCAAAATACATCATTTAAAAAAAAATTATTACAATTGTTAATAAAAGCATCTAAAAATGATGATCTAGATGCACAACCAATTTCATCTTATTTCGATTTACAACAAGCAAATAGTGTAAGATGATGAATTTTTTTTTATTTTTATATTTGAAATTTTCGAGAAAATTTATTTATTTCAGGGAATTATTTTACCTGTTATCCGTCGATGGCCACCATTATCAACATCATCAACATCTCATCATTTTTCATTTCATTGTTGGTTAAAACTTAATCATGAAATTCAATCATATCCATATGAAGGACGTCGTCAAATCTATTCATTCTATTCTAATTCAATGGGTTTAGAATCATTTATACGTGATTCATCATTATTTATATCAATAACTGATCATCGTGAATTTGTTTATATTGAAATAAATGATTGTACCGATTTAATTGATGGTTATTGGCATTCTTTAACAATTGTTCATAAAGCACAACGACCATCTTTATTTGGTTCCGCATTTCAAACAACACAAACATGTCATTTAACTATTTATATTGATGGTTTATTAAGAAAAGAAATCAAAGATTTTAAATATGTATCAATTATAAATGATCCAATTATTTCAGCTTCAATTGGTTCACCAAGTCAACGACCAAAATTATCAATGTTAAAAATAAAAAATGAATCATTATCAACAACAATTGTAAAAAAAATTCAACCATTTAAAGGATTACTTTCATCAAAAACGAAAAGTTCAATAACTCGTAAAGAAAATCAAGGATTTTATTCACCAAATGTCATGATAATTGATCCAAATACTCAAGATACATTATTTGGTCAATCAATTTGTTTATATGGGCAATTAGCTTGTGTTTGGATCTTAGCTGAAACATTAGATGAAGTACATGTAAAATATTTACATGCAATGGGTAAAAACTTTTCGAGAATTATAGACTAAATTAGAATATAAAACATAATTTGAAATCTTTGAACAAAGAAAAAAATAATAGACTTCATGAGTATTTAAAATTATAGATTTGACATTTTTCGAAGTTCATGAGTTCTTAGGAGTGTATTTTTTATTGAGGTCCATACGAACCCTGATTGAGAAAATAAATACAACACACGAGGTTGTTACTAGTTTATCCTACACATGTGAAGACATGAATACAAGAAGAACAATTGCGTATGATTGCCTGATGCTATCAATGTATTGTACTCAGTATCTTTAACGCATACCTAAAACAACATGGTTTGATTAAATGTTATGAACGCGTAATATAACAGTGAATCTCTGGTAACCCACAAGCGTTGACATATAACGTGGAATGGGTCTATTCACATGAATAATTGTTGGCATAGAGTCCGCACGAATTCCACGTAATCATGTGGGAGTCATTAATGTTGTCTTATAGTAATTTGTGATATGAAGAATAGTATCGTCAAAAGAATTTTGTCTGTTCTAGGTCAATTCAATGATGAGTATACTAAGCATAATATCAGGAACATTTCATGCCAGTTTCGAAATTTTAAAATCCATTTTTTTTGTCTATATCTTTGGCGTCAGAAAAACGAAATTTTTTGACTTTTCAGAAGCTATTAGAATTTCTTTCTCTAATTCAGTATTCGTTTAAAATGATTTTCATATAAAAGTTTCTTTATTAAAGGTAGTGACTTTTGTCGTCAACGTCATTCGTCAATGCATCATGAGGATACTTCAAAATCTTCGATTATATTCGATCTTCTTTCTAATCATTCACTTCTTGCTTACCATCCATTAGCATGTAATGGTCATATATGTATTGATATATCAGGCAGTTCTTCTCAAATAAATAATGGTCGACTTATCAATGGTTTATGTTTACGTCTTCATCCATTTTCTCAATCACTTCTTAATTTAGGTGGTTGTGCAATACTTTATCCACTAATTGAATTATTTCAAGAAAATGATTATGATGATTTCGATAATGTATTTGTATCAAATGAAAATAAAGATTCACAAGAACATCCATCTGATACTAATAAAGAGTTATATTCTAATCCAATTGCATCAATAATTTATCTAATTCGTTCAATTTTATCATCTACATCAACAAATATTTTAATTGAACAAATAACTACACATCATAATATTGAAATATTAGGAGAATATTTAAATCATCTCTCATCATATTTTATTGATAAACAATTATTAATTTCAATTGAACAATTAATTGAATCAAGTTATCTTATTGATTCATCATATTTATTAACAACTCAATTAATTCAATATATTTTATTTAATTTTAATTTTTGGAATAAATCTAAATATAATGTACGAATATTACATTTACAATATATATCAATTATTATTCAATATGATCAAAAATTTGATCGAGAAAAATTTTGTGTACAATTTTTTTTAGATATTATTAAACAACATTTTAAGTAATATGAAAATTTTTATTTACAAAGAAACTACTTGAAGTGATATTTCGCGTTTGAAATGAGATCCCAATCATTACGTAGGACATCTTAAAACTAGAAGAATTCTTCTAATCGTAATAGGTTCTACGTAATGACTGAGATCTTATCTTAAACGTAAGGTATCACTTTGCGTGGTTTCTTCGTTAGTTTAATTCTTTATATTTATTTGTTTGAATTTATTTAGAGACGATACAGATGAACAACAACAATTACGTCATGCTATTTATGGAATAATTCAATATTTTATTGAAAATCATGTTAATAAACAAGATTTAAATGCACTTCTTTCTACTATATCAATATTATCAATATCAAATGATGTTATAACTCATGAATTACTTGATTTTATTCTTTTATTACTTGGTTCATCATCAATATTAACTGAAAAAATCATTGAATTTTTATGTGAACCAAATATGATTGAAGGATTATATTCTCTTTTAGTTTTGACTGATTTATCAAGTGAAACAAAAGAAATTGTTTTGAAAATAATGAAATATTTTATTGAATCAAAATACATATCACAACAAATACGATCTCAATTAAGATTAGAAACAGATCATATTGGATTTGGCGGTATTATTTCTAGAATGGCACGTAGTGAATTAAATCAATCGATTATTCAGGAAATTTTTGATATAATTATTACATCTAGTAAGTTACTATTGAAAAATATAAAGATTAAAATATTTTTTATTTAAGATTCATCAATTGCTATATATCATCTCAATATTGTTTTAACACTTTGTAGTGCTGCATCCTTGAATGTTCGTTGTATAGTCGTACGTAAAGTAAGAAAAACATGAATATTTATCTTTTATTTATTTATTAATATTAGTTTCTTTTTGTTTGTAGCTAGTGACATATTTTATCAGTAATCCATCTGCATGTCATTCGTATGCTAAATGTCATGGATGGCAAGAAACATTAGCTCATTTTTTTGTTAAAACACGTCGTTCCAGCTTAGTAAATTTGTTACCTAATGGAACTGTTACTCATGATGTTTTGTCAACATACAAAAACGATCAAAATCTTAATTCAAGTCAAGGAAGTTCTGATCATATGAATATAACTGATAATAATCTGCATTTAGAATCAACAATGATCTCTAACATTGTACCAAGTTCAGATGATCTATTACAAGAAACACATGATCAAAAACTTGATTTATCATTCATGGATAATATAACAACGGATTTCGATTCAAGATTGCCATATACATCTTCAGAAAATTCTTTAGCATCAAGTTATATTGATATATCGGTGAATCTTTTAAGTGATAAAGACGATTTGACCACTGATTTTCGCCGATATTCAAATGAAACAATAATGACAGCACCACAATCAAATTCTGCTAGTAAAGAAGATCTCCTTTCATTATTTAAAACAGAAGTTTCAAATGACAATCTTATGGAAATGGTTAGAAAGAACAGTGATCTATCATCATTATTATCACAAACAACTATTCATACAAGTAGGACAAAATTTCATAATGATAAAATAGAAAATGACGAGTATAGACAATTTGATTCTACACTTAGACAGTTTTAAGATTGGCTCATTTTTCAGGTTTATAGCAAAATTAAAAATTGTAGACTGACTTATTCCACGATTAAAAAGTAAAGCGAGTGACTAATTATAGATGATACAGAATGAATTCTATTTACTCGCTGTGTAATCTGATTATACTCATTAACAAGCGCTTTTTACAAAATGAACAATCTAAATACTATGAATATATTTTTATTCTTTAAGGTATAAACAATACTCAAGATTCAACAACTTATATTCGATCGTCTATCACTACTGATGATGATGATGATGATGATGATGATGGTGATGATAATATTCTTGAAGAAATGTGTGAAACATTAATCTTAGTAGTTGTTATGATTCTATGGAAAGGAATTGTCGATTGTGATGATGCCTCTTGGATAGTTAGTTATCTCTGTGATCCATTTTTTTGTTATTATAATCTTTTATTTCTTTTTTTTAGATTCGTGGTCAAATTTTTTCAGCACTTCGTCATCTTCATCGTGAACATGATTTGTATTTACCATTAGATTATATCGAACGACGTATCTTGGAATTAAGTATGGAAGCATGTTTAAATGATATTAAATTAGATGGAGGTATGAAAATTTTGTCTTAATACTCTATTCAATCTTTTGTTTTTACTAAAAAAAAATAAAGTAAAGCATGTTTATGACCGTCTTGGTCGACGGCGTATTAGTTTCAGTAGTATACGTAAGTAATATATATATATATATATATATCAAAATATTGTCAGCGTTAATTACTGAATGTTGTTATTTTTCTTTTTATTTTGATTTTTCAATAAAAACTAAAAATAATTTTTTTCCTAGGTAAAAAAAACAGCAACTTTTGAAAACAATTGTCATGAATTAATAAAACTTGTTAATGATTATCTTTCACAATCAACAGATAACAGTGCACGAATAACCGAAAATCTTGTTAATGGTAAATCTTATTTAATAATAATATAAATCAACCTTTTCATTTATTTTTCTTTAAAAGGAATTATTCCAATACTTGATACAATGCTTTTATATACAAAGACTGATACTGGTAGTGAATCGATGTTCGTATATGGTTCATCTGATGAACATTGGTCAGAAACATCTTTCACTGGTCTTAATATTCTTCTTATTCTTCTTGCTCATTCAAATATATCATTTTGTGAACAAGCATCTATTCGTATTCATTCATTATTAAATTGTCGTCCATTGAGTGGACGAGAAGAAGCAGCTTATCTTTTATCAAATGTTAATAATATACTTTCATCTATTTCAAATATTGATGATTCTAAATATTGTACACATTTATTATCATTAATGAAAATAATTATTGATGAATCTTTTGATTTATTACAAATGAATGTATGCATTCCAGACATTTCAGTATATAAAGCAAAAGTAATAACAATAGATGATTTACGTCAATATATTTCATCAACAAATCGTGAAGATTGGCAAATTTTTATTGAAAAAATTACTGAACCATATGCTGATCATTATCGATCAATGACTATAAGACCATTTCAAATGAATATGAAAATTTGGTGGAATAACTGTCATGAAATGATGAATATTGGTATACATAAACGTAATCGACAAATTGAAGTAGAAAAATTAAAATTTCAAGTAAAAATAAATATAATTATTTGAAACTGAAAAGATTATATGTTTTCTTTTTTGTAGAATCATATTGCTCAACCATGGTATCAACGTAGTCGTTTGGATTATCAACGTACAATAAAATTAAATGAACAACATCGTATTTATCAAATCTATATTGATTATGAATGGAAAAATCGAAAGAAATATTTATATGGTGAACGTGGTTTATATTTAAATGATAAAAATATAAAAGAACATCATTGGATGTTATCTAATCGAGAAAATATTCATCGAATGAGATGTGAACTTATTGAAAATGATTATTTTAATTTACATGAAGAATCAAGTCGTCTGCGTGATAATATACGTATTGATACAACTGTTCAAACTGATCAAAATAAATCGAACAAAATTTTTAAAAATGAACAAAAAGGAAATTTGATTGATGAACATAAACTTTTAGATATTTTTAATGAAAATAAATCATTTGGTTTTGAAAAAAAAGCAAATATGTAAGTTAAAAAAAAAAATTAAACCATTTCAATTTATATGATTTTGTTTTTAATAGTCTTATTGGAACAAAATGTTCATTAATAACTTTAACATCAATAGCAGATGGAGAATTTATAATAACAGATAAATATATTTATTTTTTTGATTTATCAAGATTAAAACCTTGTCAAAATAATTTTAAATATCCATTATTATGGTTACATGATATACATTTACGTCGATATAATTTACGTCCAACAGCCATAGAATTTTTTCTTATTAATCAAACAAATTTTCTTTTAAATTTTGATAAAAATCCTCCAAGTGTTGACAAAAAAATACGTCGTCAAATTTTTCAAAAACTCATATTATTAAAATTACCATCAATAAAAAGTATTTTTTCAAGTGTAGTAACAACACTAACACCACAAGAAATTCTTAAAGAATCAAAAATAACTCAAAAATGGATTAATCGTGAAATATCAAATTTTGATTATTTAATGATGTTAAATACGATTGCTGGACGAACTTATAATGATCTTAATCAATATCCAATATTTCCATGGGTATTAAAAGATTATACATCTCAAGTATTAGATATTCATGATCCACATGTTTTTCGAGATTTTTCAAAACCAATTGGAATTCAAAATCCAAAACATATTGATGAAGTTAAATTAAAGTAAGTTTTCCTAGTAGGAAGATTAATGTCATAGATTCAAAAACGTGGAGATTGCAAAAAAAAACGATAGATGTGCAATGTACTAGCAATTCTCTTCTATCATCTCGTATTTTGTAGATAATTGACAGTATTATTGATTAAGAAAAAATATCTTTACTAATTTTAAATAGATATGAATCATTTGATGACCCAAGTGGTTTAATAAAAAAATTTCATTATGGCACCCTTTATTCAAATGCAGCAACTGTTATGCATTATCTTATTCGTACGGAACCATTTACTACTTTACATATTCAATTACAAAGTGGAAAGTATGTAAATAGAATATTCTTATGAATCAAAATATTTAATAAAACTCTATTTAGATTTGACATAGCAGATCGACAATTTCATTCATTTCAATCAGCATGGACAAATATAATGGATTCACCAAATGATGGAAAAGAATTAATACCTGAATTTTTCTATCTACCAGAATTCCTTGTGAATTCAAATAGATTTGATTTAGGAAAACTTCAATCTAATGATCAACATTTAAATGATGTTCAATTACCACCATGGGCTCATGATTCACCAGAAGAATTTATTCATTTACATCGTTTAGCACTTGAATCAGATTATGTTTCAGCACATCTTCATGAATGGATTGATCTTATTTTTGGTTATAAACAAAATGGACAAGCAGCAATTGATGCACTTAATGTATTTATGTATTATTCATATGACAAAGTTGGTAATACTAATACTATTGATGATTCTATAACACGTGAAGCAATTGATGGTATGATACAAAATTTTGGACGAATTCCATATCAACTACTTACTGAACCACATCCACAACGACAAACACGTGAACAAGCAACATTTCAAATTGATATACAAGGACGTCCTTTGAATATATTTCAAAATTTACGTCATATAAAAGTATATTTTATTGAAATAATATCTGCAAATAATCAAATATTGAATTCAATAATATTTATTTCTATTCCAAAAAATCAAATTCGATCATTTATACAACAAGGTACACCTGATACACTTGTTACTATTAATATCAATGGGATTGTTGGAAATAATGGTTAGTTAATTCTATTATTTTTTTAAAAGAAAATTTTCTATTTGAAATAAAATAGGTTGGCATTCATATGATAAATCATCAGATAATCTTTTTACATTTGAACAAGATTTAACATTACAATCTGAAAAGTAAATATATGTTTAAGTAATCATTTTCAAATGTTATTTTGTTTTTTTTTATTTTCTTAGAAATCGACTTACTACTGTTGTACCATTTTCATCTTCAATCAATATAACTTCACGTCTTTTTGCTCTTTCTCATGATGGTAAATTTATATTCAGTGGTGGTCATTGGGATTGGTCTTTATGTATTTATTCTTTGACTAAATCGAAAACAATTAGTTCAATTATTTATCATACAGATATAATAACATGTTTAGCATTAGATTCAACAGGATATATTCTTGTTACTGGTTCACGAGATACAACTTGTGTTATTTGGTATTTATCATTGAATGATAATCGACATCATATAAATATAAATGATCAAGATCTAACATCAATTATTACACCAACAATGATACTCAATGGACATACTGCTGAAATAACATGTGTTTGTGTTTCATCTGAACTTGATCTTGTTGTTTCAGGTTCATTAGATGGTACTTGTAATATTTATACAATTGAACATGGAATTTATGTACGTACATTACGACCAACTGATGCTAATAATGATCCAGTTGTTAATTTAAAATTATCTGATGAACGACATATTCTTGTACAAACAACAAATGAAGATACACATTTATTTTTATATTCAATTAATGGTTATCTTATTCGTACAAGAAAATTTGAATATCATATTGTTGATATGCTTTTAAGTGATCAATATATTATACTTGCTGTTAATGATCATTCAACTTCCAAAGAAAAAACAGACTCAACATCATCAAATATAGCAAGAATTATCATTAAAGATATGTTTGAGTAAGGATTTTTTAAAATACAGTATATTGAATATGTATAATTTGATTATTCTAATTAAAGAATGACTACAATTCAAGCCACTCGTCTTCGAATACAAATCAATTGTATTTATTTAACAAAAGATTCAAGTCATTTACTTGTTTCTGCTAAAGATGGAAAATTATTTGTATTAACACCTGAAAAAAGTAATACTAAGAAGTTCATGAAAAAAAATTAGAAATAACCGAACAATTTATTTTTATTTATTGTTTTGAAAGAAAAAAAAATACCTATTTTTTATTGACCGTTATTATTATTGTTCTTTTTGTTTCATATGTCAGATTCAGTAATGTCTTATCTCGTCACCGTGAACTCACTTTATTTTCTAACTCAAATATGTGCTCTTGTTTTTTATTTATCGTTTCCATGCATCTTCTTCTTCTTCTTCTCGATGTTGACTCAATTGTTTAATTATTATTATTAATGCTTTCTTTTTGTCCTCATGTTTTGTGATAGTTATTGTTGTTTTTTTTGGTTTTATGTCCGGTTCGTTAATATAATTCTTTTAATTGTTTTTTAATCATTATATATTTGTGCACATTATCCATTTTACTATACACATTAGTCCAAAAAATGAGTGAATCATAAAGAAATGTATTTATATTTTCTATTTAAAATATAAATTAAAAAAAGACATCAACAGTGATAATTAAAATTCTTATTAATAAAGAAAAAAACCAGTACCTTTATGTATGTGAATCAAAGAATGCAATACTTAATTTAATTGATTTCATTCTATTGATATCATTCTAACTTGTTTTTCTTTAACAAATATATTTACAAAATAATCATTTCATACTAGCAAGAAAATATCTTATCGTGTCAAATCGCAATATGGACCGAAAAAATGCTTTGTTTTCATCAAGTGTAATTTTATCTCATATATGTAAGACACTAAAATGTTTCATAGTGTTGTCTATACTATTCAACGATCAAATTTGAATCAGAAAAAAACTTATCTTGGTGAAGTTTGATTTACATCAAATTAGTAACATAATCCCATGTTGTACATTTGTTTGCACTACCATCAGTAAACAACGGTACCCATAAGTATTGACAGTATACTGTCAGTAGATTGGCGGTTAGAGAATAACTATCGGTATACGACGAGAGAATGGTGGTTAGAAGATAGCCGATTGTTCAAGTGTCAAACTGCCGGTTGATTGTCAATATATTGCTAGTTAAACGTCGGCATAGCACACATTATATTCAAGGATCTGCCGACAGTTAACCGGCGGCTTTTGTCCAGTTTCAATCACATGAGATAGTAATAGAATTTTTGGATTGTTTATATATTGAAAAGAATCATCTGTTTGAACAATGACAATCATAAATTACAATATTTCACAGCCACGTAGGTTGACACCTAATATGAATACACCACAAAAAAACAATAATCACTACAAACGATTACCAACTAATGAGATTATAAGAATATACATTTGATCAACAAAAAAAATTCAAATATGATGAGTGAAACAAAAAGTAAATCAATGCTTTTGTTATTTTTTGTCGTACACTCACATTGAATTTGCCATTATCTTTGTTATTGAATATTGACTATACCTATTCTTCTTTTGGATATTTTTTCTGTATTAAAACTCAATGTAAAAGATTCTGTTATTATTTATTCTTCATCCAAAATGTCTTTGGCTGGTTTTTTTGTAGAAAAATGCCTATTTTTTTCTTCTTTGTTTTGTACACTTAATTAATGAACCGCTATTTGATAGAAAACAAGGGAGAATGGTGAAAAATATCTGCCTTACATCAATCATTCATTGTACACCGTAAAGTGGAGGGAAACGTTTGTAAAAGATACTTCATTTATAATAATTGTTTGCTGATCATCGAAAGTAATTGGCCTTTTGATACAGAATTATAAAAGTTTACTAAACCTGTAATTAAATATAATGAGTCAGTTTAGACGCAGTAACTATCGCGATTAAGTGAAGTAAAATGAAATATCACGACTGATACTGGGCAAGAGGAGATTATTAGAAGGCAAAATACCATTTGTTTTTCTTTAATATTTCGAATTCTTGGTCGAACAATCTTTAACAACGAAATTTTTAAAAATAAAACGTCTATGATCACAAAACACAAGATAGATTGACCGACCTGGTGAAATGAATTTATTCAATTGCTTTATGTAGATCTCAAATAAAAAACCTCATTTTGAACAAAATATCAATGTCTTGTATTCAAAAAGCTTTATTAAACATTTTGTACAGGAAACATTTCCTTGCATGCTACCATGTTGGTGTATAGTTTTCATAATGATCATTGAGTTTATTGATAATTTTCAATTCTTCTTTGTTTTTAGTACATTTTTCTACGGCAAAATTTAATAAATTATTGTTGTAATTGACCATTATCGTTAAATTCGGGTACGATTTCGTTGAGTAAATGTGAACAGATGAAAGAGCAAACAGGAGTATTCGTATTTTCACTTGATATCAAATCGAATTACGAATGCTCATCGGTGTTATCGTTGCTTTCGCTACTTGAATATCTTATGCAAGATGTTTAAAGAGCAAGAGAGCGTCCGAAAAAGTACCTTTTACGCTCTTATGTATTGCTGGATAGTCATCATCCGATGATAATATGTGCGAAGAGATGATATAGATCGAATGAAGTTGTAGAAATTCATGAAGCTGAAAGATAAACTCATGAATTAATAAAATTCTGAAATAATGAGAAAAATCCACTCACTATTGGCTGTTCAGATAAAATCAATACATTTTTCGACATCATCAAATGTTTGAATAGCATGAGTTGCATGATCGAATGTTTCGTATCGATGCCACTTTCTTTAATTCAAACGACAATGAAGTCATCATCACTGAGACCATATGATTGCTGAGAGGACATGTTTCTTGGCGTGACTAATCTTTATCTTTATAAAGAAGCCTTTTCTTACTTTACGCATACAACGACGAGAACGAGAAGAATATTTGTATTTCTCTCCTTTTTTTTGCACCATTGTATGATTGTCAGAAGACTGTTTCAGTCGACAACGGATTGCATTTATGTACATAGTAAACAGTCGAATCGTTTATAGAGAATCAACGTTTTGGTTCTCTCTGAATAATCTGCATTATTTGTCAAAATAAATTCATCTTTCGTTGCACTTCACTCAACGTCGTAACAGAACAAATCGCAGATTTTCCTGAACTTTGTCCAAAAAGTGCTTTTTCTTCGTTACAGTTGCCGAATGTTTCACATAACAACAATACAACCAATATTTTTTATAAACAGAACAAAACTAAATTACTGCACTAAATATCTAGTTTCTGTTCAAAATGATCTTTTTCTTTGATCGAAAATCGTAGCTTTATTTCAATCTATTTAATACAGCGGCCGATACTTCTCTTTGAAGTGATCACAGTGCGGTTATTAGCAAACCATACTGTGCCATAATTAAGTGCTTATTTTGTTACTTCACTATATTGTGTCGGTTTGATAATTAGCGCCATGATTCTATTATAAATAAGTATCCAACTCGCTCTCAAAGCGAGAACAGATCTACTTTGATTTCTACCTTCAATGGTCATCGTCATTAGATCATTACAGGAACGTGTAAGCCCTGTTACAATGTCAAATGTGGCAAGAATTGATAGATTATGATACGTAGTTCAATAGAATTCATTATTCACGCTGCACTGAGTACGACAGAAAAATGAATGGCAAACGCCAAAACTGGAGGCGTTGTTTGATAATCTCATCGAAATGATCAGAGGAAAGAAACAATAATCTCGAAAATGTAGTTGTTTCCAATTTCAATCATTCGGTATAGCGTTATGTTGCTTGTTGCTAACGATGAAAATATTAGAAATTAACAAGAATATTGATGTATGTGTGGGGTGCAAACCTCGGTGAGGATTCAGTATATGTGTGAGTGTCAGATATATATATGGGATGTGTGTGTAGGTATTGATGTGAGTATTCATTTGCGCTCACACACACCTATATACGCAGTCAGCCACACGCACATCTTTTCGACTTGACGTGACAGTTCTGTTTCTGCTTAATATTGATCGCAGAACTCCTTTTCGTCATGCAAACTGTCAGTCAAACTTCATTTCTCAACATGACTTTATCTGGGTCAATCTTTCAGAGTCGATTAGTGGTTGGCCAGATGGTACTTTGATTCAGCTTCGGTTTATTGATCATGACATATAGAGACTCATGCGTCATAAAATGATACCATCTTGTATCTCGTGTACAAGACAAAGTTTTCAAGAAATCTTAAAATTTTGTAGGTTGACTTATCTTCTAACTATAGCATGCCAGCGAATAATTAACGGGCGGTGCATAATATACAGATCAAGATGTTTCCCTCTTTTTATGATACTTCCCGACGCATTAGAGACTTCGTTTTAGGCTCATTCGATAGAGAATTTTCTGCTCTATAAAACTACTGTCTTTGTTGTTCAAATAGCTTTTTTTTTATTGGTGCAAAGCTTAAGAGATGAGCATCTATTCAATAGCCTAACTAGAATTCCGATTTTCTGTAGGCATCTATTGATTTGTGTAAGCCTTCGCTCATCAGGGTCGATGCTAACAGAAAAGTACTTTGGCATCAATGGATATATCCTGTTTGTTCGTCTAGATAAGGCAAGCGATGCTTACGACTATTCAGGACTATATTGCATTGCTCTACTTAAACTGCAAGATAGCAATAGACTCTGTGTGACAGATACAACTTTTGTTAATTATCCTTAACGGATGACAGCATTTTTAAACGAACCATTTACCTTTCGAAATTTCATCGACCATTGATCATCACGCTGATAGTTTCGACAAAATACATTGCCAAAGTCGATTTGATGAAAAGTATGTGGTGTAGGAACAAATAACCTATCGATAGTATCATAGACGATTAAAAAAGTTCGGCTCTCTTGCACATTCAATACATAATTCTGACAAACATCTTGGTTATCAAATGTTTGAACATTATTGACAATATTTCAGAGTTGGGAAACTAGGATTCTGCAGTAATTATCGTCTCCAATGTCTGCGTTAAGTAACTCAATGATAAAGTGCTCACTCTGATCTGAGAAAACATTCATATTTCCTCTTAAAGTAGCAGCGGACGGTATTTGAATGACTGAAGAGAAATTCTAATGCTGATGTATCATAGTGC